GGGGGGTCGAGGGAGCAGACTGACAGAGTCACGACATCTACGTCTACGGACGAAAAGACAGAAACACAACACGTGAGCAAACGGGGAACTACGAACACGTTCGTGTTGTCGATCAAAGGAAACAGGAAGAAGATCTGGTTAACGTAGGTTTGGGTTTTTGTCAAATAAAGAAACCTGAGAGCGTTAACTTGATCTTTGAGGCCTAGGCAGAAATAAAAAATAAAAAAAAACAACTAACAGTCAGACGAGAGTTTTTGTTACCGGCTCGGGGACGATGTGGCTGAAAAGATCAAAGATACTTCTGCAATCTGAAATGGATCCAGGTGTTTTGGTCCGAAGCCGTGGAGAATAACAGGAAGCTGCGGAGCAGACGGTTGGAGCGCCGACAGGTAGAAGGTCAGCTGGAAAAAGGAGATCAGGAGCGGGGGACGAGCAGCGTCCTGACAGAGTGAATGACTCTGATCTTTGAGGTGTATTTACAAGGAAAAAAACTGCAGGAAAATATTCAGCTGATTTAGTCACAAAACAGTACTTCAGTATTTTAGAGGGCTAGTAAATAAAAAATAATACCACGATGGAAAATATTACATTGAAATATTTATATACAAATATAAAAATAAATATATACACAAATAAAAAAATATATAGATATAACCAAAAATATGTGTATATATAAATACATATAAATAAAAATATACATATATATATAGAAAAATATATGTATGTGTACTCACTCACAAAACAGTATTTCAGTTAAGAGGGCTACTACTTTAAATATACTGTATAGCACAATGGAAAACATTACATTGAAAAATATATATACAAACACATAAATAGATATACACAAATATATATGTATATATATACATATATAAATATACATATATACAAAAATATATGTATATGTGTGTACTCACTCAGTCTTTGGTCTCATTTGAAGTTTTCTTTTTCTGTTTTATTTCTGCGTTTTCTTCATGTTTACAACAGATCAAATAAATCTCTATTATTATTTTTTATTATTCTGTATATTATTATTATTTTGTTTTATTATTTTATTTAGTTTCATGGACACGGCTCTACATGAAGACGACCTTCAGCACCGTGGGCCGATCAGGAACAGATGGAGGGGTGACGACCCCCCCCCACCAGGAAAGTGAGAGCTGCACAACTGTCGCTCCAAATACCAGAGAGTTGTGAACGTGTGTGTGCTGAGGTTCAGAGGTTGACATGGCAAAAATGAGCAGAGATATTGAGGGGTGGGGGTGTGACACATCTGTTCCACTGGAAACACGAACTTCAGCGCTGACAATGGACCAAACACACACACACACACACACACACTCCTGCTGTTAGACGGTCTTTTCATTTGACAGTAAAGCTGAGAAATTAGATTAGAGAGAAACAGATCCTCCTCTGAGAGGTGGCCTCTCTCTCTCTCTCCCTCTCTCTCTCTCTCTCACAGAGAGCTTTACTCCTCACTTCCCCGTCTTCTCCCCCCACGTCCATGATTAGGTTTCATTTTGTTGGAGGGGGTGGGGGAGGTGGTGGGGGCCGGGGGTTGTTCTGATCAATGACAGGAAACCAGACGATGGGACGAGAAGACATGAAATAGATACGACCTCCTGACCTGCCTCCATCCAACCAGAGACCAGCAATCACTTCCTCTGAGTCTGGGCAGTGATTTCCACCTGTAACACACACCCCAACACACACACCACAACACACACACCACAACACACACGCAGGAAGGACATCCAGTGTAAAACCTTCTCCTCCTTGTTCTTCCTCCTAATTTGTTGATTGTTTCGTGCTCTACAGTTTTTACACCTCCTGTTATACTTAAAAAACAGAAATCTCCTCCTCCTCCTCCTCCTCCTCCTTCTTCTCCTCTTCCTCCTCTGACACACACAGCTCCGCTCCTGTTTCCTGTCTCTGGTGAGACGATGAACAATAATTGATCAAAGGAAACAGAGTCCGTTCTCCGTCTGTCTGTAGACCTCTGACATGTGACTGCGTCTCCACGGAGACGGGACATTTCTACACCAGAATGCAGTCACCGGGACACACACACACACACACACACACAGAGTGTTTAAAGGTGTGGGTCACGGCCCCACCTGTTGACACCGTAACAGTCAGGACCACTTCAGTCCTGTTCAGGGACCACCGCGGGCTGCAGAGCCACACTTTGGTCACAGCTAACACTGAACTCCTGTCAAAACACACTTCCAATTCAATTAGGACTCCAGGCTGGAGACCCTGCTGAGACACCCCGTCCCCCTCCCCCCCCCGCACCCGCACCCCCGACCAAAACCTTCAACACCCCGAGCTGAGCTGCTGAGGAACACACACACACACACACACACAGTCAGAGACACTGAGGACAGAAGACAAAGTTCAGACTGATGCTCCACAGCTGTGGCGTCCAGGAGGTTGGACGACGTCCTGACCTGCTGACGTGTCCATCAGCCTTAGAGGAAAAGTTGCGGTGATCTGATCCCAGAAAAAACACACACACATTCCTGCGACTTCCTGCGACTTCCTGTTTGGAGGACGTCAGTCCTGGTGTCTGGGATGGAACTTCTTTTTCATTAATTCTGTTGTTTTATGGAAAATTCTTCCCCGAGTCTCAAACTGAGGTCGGACCTGTTCACAGACGGACAGACAGGGGGCGCTGCCTATGTTTTATGACAGCAGTGTGGAACAGCAGCAGGAACAGACCGTGCTGTGGGAGAACATTCATCCCCGTCTGTGTTTCTGGACGTCCTGTTGCCGTTCATGTCCGAGCCCCGTGATTGGTCCACGGCCTGCGCCACGGTGGTTGAGTTGCTCCATTAGAACTCATGTTAAAATAATATTGGCCGAGTGAGAAGCTCATTAATCATGAGTTTGACTGGAGTTCTGGAGACTGTTGACAGCTAATGAGCTTCCTGCGACTCACGTGCACGCCTCACGTGCACGCCTCACACACTGCTGATTAAATACTCCGAACACACACAGACAAATACTCTGGATGTCTGTACTGCATGTGCAATATGAGAGTACATTTTCCATTTCATTAGTTTCACATTATTTTTTTAAAATCAAATTAAATTAATTCAAATCATTCATGTTTTCATCCAATGATTTTTGGAGTGTTTTTTTTCAAATTTTTATTTCTCTGTCTCCATATACCATATATACACTAATATGCCAATTACTTTTAGTAGCAGATATAAAACTGTGTGTTACGTCATTAGTAGGACATGGTGTCGTCGGCATAAGGTTTGATCCAGACAAGTGAAACGATAGAAAACATGTATTTTTAAATAATTTTGGTTGTTAGTTGAAATATTTACTTACTTTAGAAAATAATCTGCAATCGATTCACGATCATTTCAGTCAACGTTCGACAACCAAATACTGGGTCAAAAACAAAACAAAAAAAAAGGATCAAGAAACAAAAAAGTTCTTTACCGACAACAAACGTCTGTCGACTCAGATCAGAAACAGCAGCAGTCTGTAAACAACAATCTTTCCTCGACCTGGTTAACCCTCCACTAACTAGCGGTCGTCCATCTGCTCCAGTTTCATTTGTGGTCGCCTCTGATGTCATTTCCTGCCTGGACACTCATTAAAAAATCAGAAATAAAATCAGGTGTTAATGTGAAGCTGAGCCGCTGACAATAAATTTATTTTATCACCGAACGTAAACTTCACAGCGTTCACCAGATGAACTGAGCTCACAGCGCCCCCCACCCCTGCAGTTCCCACACCTCCCCCCAGAGGTTTGAGCAGAAAAACCTCCTCAGCACTTTTTATTCTCTGACCTTTTCTTTAACGCCTCATAAATAAAACACAGTCCAGAAATGTGTGTGTGCGTGTGTGTATATGTGTATGTGTGTGTGTGTGTGTGTGTGTGTGTGTGTGTGTGTGTGTGTGTGAGCGCTCCGTGCCTCCAGAGACATGATAATTGTTTGTTGTGATATTGTAATGAAGCCCTCAGGCCCTCTTAAACTAATCAGGTAATCAGGCCCTCGCTCTCTTTCACACCCACACACTTACACACACTTCAAGTGTGTGTGTGTGTGTGTGAGAGAGAGTGAGTGTGTGTAAGTGCTGCGGAAAAACGAGCAGTCAGAGCTGAGGGCAGGACAGAGCAGCAGATCCCAGAGTCTGGACACGTTTCCCTGAGAAAGACTGAAGAATCTGACTGTCTCTCTGTCTCTCTCTCTGTCTCTCCCTCTCTCTCTCTCTGTCTCTCTCTCTCTCAGTCTCTCTCTCTCTGCAGTGAAATGAAAAATGAACTTCTGTTCAACAACATTAAATAAAAAAAATACAAAGTAATAAAATGATTTCCATGGGTTTTTATTTTCCAATAAATTTAAACTGTTTTTTTTATCTCTGTCTCTGTTTGTGCCACAGTTTATTGAATATTATTATTTATTTTTAAAGGATGGAAATACAGCGAATTTAGAATTTAAACTGATGTTTAATTCATTTGTTCGTTTTAGTCAAAAAGTTTTTTAGATTTCGTCTATTTTGAAAACATTGGCTTTCAAAAATATTTTCTGTCCCAGTTCATTTGTTCGTTTTAGTCAAAAAGTTGTGAATGAAAAAAACCTGATTTTTAGATTTCATCTTTTTTGATTCATTAGTTTTCAAAAAATATTTTCTGTCCCACAATTTCTAGAATAATTATCACAGATTGTTTATTTAATATGATAATAATAATTACTATAGGTATCTACTATTTGCTATTTTTATTGGTTATTAATTAAGTTCTATTTTTCCTCTAATAATTTAAATATTTTTAATGTTTCCATTTTAATTTGTGTATCACTGTGCGTTTTTATTTGTTTTTAATTTGAATTGTTTTACTTACTAAAATGTTTTTAATGTTTTTGAGGGTTTTTTTAAATCCTACAGATGTGTAAAAAAACCAAAACATTTTGGGGTTTTATTACTGACATTGCTTTAATATTTGTTTTTATTCTTACAGTTAGACATTTTAATTTTTT